CCTCCCTCCCTCCCTCCCTCTCCCTGTGTATTTTTGATGTAATATCTCATGTGTCGTAGGCTGGTGCAGAACTCACCATATAACTGTGGATGGCCTTGAACTCCTAATCCTTCAGCCTCCATTGCTCATTATAGTGCTGGGCTTGTAGGTGTGTGCAGCAATGCCCAGATTTATGTGGTTCTGGTGCTGAGGATTGAATTTAAGGTTTTGTGCATGTTAGGTGAACCCTCTACCAACTCTATACCCTCAGCCACTCGTCACTTCTTTTAAAATACCTGGGCAACAGGGAACAACAAAAGCTTCATATATGAAAAGTAGCTTGTTCTCAGGATGGTGTTGGGGCTCTGTGGGGGATGGGCTGGTGGAGAGGCGGATGGGGACATACTGCTGCCTGGTGTGCTTCTGAGCATCTTTAATAATGGTAAATTTTGGTCTTTTGTCAAGATCCAAGTTCAGTGTATTTGATGGGCGAGAGAAATAAAATGTAAGGGCTGACGAGACGGCTCACCAGCTAAGGGTGCTTGCCAAGTCTGGTGACCCAACTTTGATCCCTGGAACCCATACATGTGTCTTCCCCTAGAAACAAGAAGTTAAAATCAGAAAATGAAATGAAACTGCCGGCCTCAAGTGGACCACGATGGAAGGCAGTCTACAGCCAGGCTTTTAGGGCATGCTTTCCTCTGATCTTCCCAAGAGGTTACTGCAAAGAAAACACTTTTTATTTAGTGAATAATCCCAAGTCTCAATGATGAGAAGGCGATTTCTTTCCCCTTTGACATCAGTGGCAGGATGATTTCTTCCCCAAACCCGGGGATAGCTTCAGCATTCACATGTCCTGGAGTGAGGGGTTGGCTTTGCTGGAGGTCACATGACTGGGGTATCAGCCTGTCAGGAGGGAGAGGGGTGACAGCTCCAGGACTGCCTTCCTGCCTTTCTCAGTATCACAATGGTGCATATGGCAATTGTATCCTTTTACAAAAACCTGGTGATGTGCTGTCTTCAGGGGATTAGGTGGGACTTTGTTTAGTGTTAGAGTCATGGTTTGGGTCAGATAATGGTAAAAAAGGAAACAGTCATGAAATGATTTCAGGTGAGAACTTAATTCTCTACATCTAATGGCTGCTTCTAAATGTACAAGGATGCTGTGGTGTTTCCTAAGGGACCACAGATGGGTTAGGCTTAAAATGGTGGCTCCTTTGTGTAAGACAGGAAGCAGGAAGTGAAGAAGCATGGAGGGGCTGTTCAGAGGTACCGGCTTCGGCAGAGATGGGGTGCAAGTCTGGGTGTCTCAGAAGGATGCAAAGGACAGTGTCTGCCAGCTGTGGGAGCCAGTTAGCCCCATTAGCAACAAAGCTCAGATTCTCTGGGTTTTGTGTCTCGTGGTCTCACCAGGTTGAAATTTTGAATTATGGTAAATAAAACCAATGTGTGAGACAAGGAACAACCTGCCCCTAGGTCCATTAAAGTTGGGCCATGGGATTAAAATGGGCGGTGAGATGGCTCCAGCGGGTGACAGTGATTTCTGCCACCAAGTCTGACTTTGCTCCCTGCAACTCACTGTGGAAAGAGAGAACTGAGTCCTGAAAGTTGTCCACTAGGTTCCATATATACCATAATGTGCATGTGCAAGCACACACACACACACACACACACACACACACATGCATACACACATGCATGCACATACACACACATATGCACACACACATGCATGCACATACACACACACACTCCCTCATACACACACACACACACACACACACACACACACACACACACACTCATACACAACATGGTTTGACAGTGTTGGGATTATTTACACCACAGACATGGGCAAATGATTCACATCAGTATCAGCATAACATTGACCTAGTACCCTTTTAACTCCAGATAGAAGGAAAATATAATATAATATCTTTCTCTTAGGGATGCACAAGGAACAATGACGGAACACTGCCTGAAGGTTTGGTTGTTTTGGTAGCTGCTAAATGTTTCTCACAAAATAGGAAAACCACGAGGTCAAAGGTATTCAAGAGACATTCCAGTGTTTCCTAGGTCTCCTTTTCTCATGTTTATTTACATACATGATAAAAGAATGACATTGTTATTATTAAATTAATTCATTAAAATAAATGATTATTTTTGATGTTGGGGAACCCTGAATCTTTAAGACAGGCGACAACATAGAAATGACTCCCAAGTCTCTGAATTAAAGTTTAGTTCCTTTATCAATAAAATTAAAGACACCCCCTCCATGATTTCACATGTGAAATACCTTTGTGGTTTGAATGACTCCATGATGACTGCCATACTTATTTCTACACAAAGTCCTACAGTATGCAGTAATAGTATTACTAGACTTATGGGGTTATTAGGGGCTAGTTAATTTTTTTCCTAAAGTAATCAAGTCTTCCTTTTATTTATTCCCTTTTCAAAAAACCAGATATTATGATATTATACAATAACCAAACATTTGATTGACCCAGCCCTTCCCTTCTTGAATGGCTGCACAGGAGGTCTGTCAGGTTCCAAGTGAGCAATTATTTAGCATGAAGATTTGAACCGTGTAAACAGTGCAGGCTTACTCTGCTGCTGAACGCCGCCCTGTGCAACGGAGGACACAGAAGAATAAATACACAGTTTACAGAGCGAAAAAGACAAAGAGGGGAACCCTTCTGCATCCATTTCCCCCCTGCCCCACCCTGTCTCTTTCTCACACTGAGCTTCCTTTCTTCTCCGACCTCTTAGGAGTATCAGTTGCTGATAACGCCCTGAATGCAGTAGCCCTTCAGAGAGCATTCCCGCTAGTTATCAAAGATGTATCACCGACTTGACCGGTTCAGAGGTTTTTGACTTCCTCTCTTATCTTTGGAACTTCTTGGCTGTTCATGGCCCACACCCTTGTCCAGCTCTAAGCACATATTCACCACCGTAACCCGAGTGCTTCTGCTCTGTTTGTGGCTCAGCTGGCTGTTGATTCCCCTGTCGCATCCTCATTCTCCAGATCATGGTATTGACTCTTCTTCCACCCACTTTGGATCCAGTAGGGACAATTAGTATTGCTGCACCTTTACAGTGATTTCATTTGTGTTTATTCTGCATTGGAACTGATGATAAACTTTTCTGTCATTCCCCACACAACCCTGCCAAGCCTTAGTTTCTTCTCTTGTGAAAAGAGGGGACACAAATACTTTTCTCTCAGAATTGAGTGGGTGAAACAAAATGATGTATGCTATGTGTAATCAGTGCCCTGAGCTTTGTAGGCATGCAACAGATATTAACTTGCACCTCTTGCACTGTCCTTCTCTTCAATACCAAAGACAAAATTTGTTCCCAAGGAAGCAGTCAGCAGATATGGGGTGAATGGTAATAGAACCCATATGTATAGGAGCTAAACTTCCCTAACTTGGATATTTATTTTTCTTTTGGAGGATTTCTATTAGTCATCTTAAATCTGCAGTATGAAATAACTTACTGAAGAATAAATTTGAGATAAAGAAATTTGGGATATGGAAGTGGAATTTGTGATGAACAAGATGAGGAAGCAGTTACCTCCTCCCCGTGTGTGTGTGTGTGTGTGTGTGTGTGTGTGTGTGTGTGTGTGTGTGTCTATGTCTGTGTCTGTGTGTAGAGGGGATCTGGCTGCTTAGAAACACATTCCATCCTGATCTTTCATGCTGCAAGTTTCACAGGGCAGGCTCCCACAGGTGGAGGGGTATGTTTTTTTCAGACTTCCATGCACCCACTTTTGGGACTCGGTCCGTCATAAAGGGCTCATTGTCTGCATGCGCAAGCCACATTCTCCAACAAGCGATGGATCAAAGGTAAATGCACCACCGTGTCTCCACAGACCACTCTTTTTGCCTCTTTGTTGGATCTGAAGCTGGGTGTTTTCCTAAACTGTCTCTAATATCTCCTGAAGTCCTCTTTTGTACATTCTAAAATGAGAGCAGTTAAATAACATCCTTTCTCTGCTCTACCTTTAGAAGTCCCTTTCATATGAATTAACAAGCATTCTGGAGTAAATAGAGGGTGTCATTATGGTTTCTATGATTCAAAGCACCCCACATTATCTCTTGCTTCCTTGAAGGTGAATCTTTTTCATTTCTTGTTTTTTTGTTTTGAAAATGCCAGTTTTTTTTTTAAAAACTTCTGAGGCATTTCTAGCAAATTGACCTGTTAGAATCATAATTGTTATGTTTTCTTCTCAATTTTTATTTTACTTGCAAATTCTTTTCCCTTTTAATATTATTGTTATTTCAAAGTTCATACTTCCTCTTTACTAAGTGACAAGATTTCCTTCTGGAACATGGTTAGAGACCAAAGTTGTCAACTTGTGAGTGATTATAAAATGCTTGCATGGGTTCTTTTATCCTTTTCCCTTGGTCCTGACTCTGAACCTCTGCAAAGGGTCACAGAGAAGAGAGAATGGGAAAGGGGTGATGAAGAAATGAAAGGACAGAGGGGTAGGCTTGGCAGCCAAACAGGCTTGTGACTGGGAGTTGGAAGAGTGGGGTGTTCCCCATGCCAAGCTGAGTTTTCATAGCCCAGTGAGCCTGGGGACGATTGATCATCTTCATGTGACACCAGTGGGAACGAGCGGACGTCATTGTTGGAGAGAGGGGTTGTTGAGCCTAGAGAGGCATCCATGCCAAGAGACGGGCTGTGGTCAGCACATTTTGATGGAGAAAAAGATTTCCCATGAGCCAGTGACTCAGGGCATCCATGCCAGGCTGAAGGAGAGAACACAGGGGCCTTTCCTGAGTCCTAGTAGGGTTCATCCACAGGCATTCTCAGAGCAAAGGTTGGAGAAACCTTATCATGAACTCTAGAACTCAAAGTGGCTTTTCACTGCCTGCTGACTTCTCTCCCAGAACCAGGGTTGCATTCACTGCTCATGAGATGCAGACACTTAGACAATGAGACATCTAGATAATGCCAATTCTGTGAACTCATGACCTAAAGTATGTAGTTAGTTTTCAGATTGGTCACTTCATTGGTCACAATAAAATAAGAAGAATGAAGTCCCAGGATCAGATTCATTAGTAGCAAATTAAATATGCATACATTCGAACAATTGGGATCTCTGACACTGGATTTGATGATGGAAATGTGTGAAATGAAATAAATGTGGTTGTTGGTCTGCTTCTGGGGGAACACATGGTCTGGAGAAGCAGAGGTTTAAGTGGACAAAGTGAATTCTCAAATCAAGACTTAAGGGGTGAGGAGAGAGAAATGGATTTTTCTTGTGCTATGAGGACAGGCAGGTGTTTTTTTATTTTTTTTTATTTTTTATTTTTATTTTTTTTTGCCATAGGAGAAAAGGAAATAGAAATGCTCGCTGTTCTTCAAAACTGAAGGGAGTTTGAAAGTCATCATTAGAGTTTGTGATTGCATTGCCTCACCCTAAGCAGAGAACATGGAACACATCAGTGTGAAGATAGGCTACTGTGAGCACATATGGTTACATTACCTCAAGTGATCATATAAAACCTGAATAAGCATGTTGGAAGAAGAAAGGTGCCCACAAAGGCATGTCCTACAATATGAAGTATGGTTGAACTGGGTTGTTACAGGGTCTAGAAATGGTAGACAAGCTTAGCTAGGTGACCTGCAGGCAAGCAGCAGAGGCGAATATTAACTCCTTATGACTGGAGCTGTTTGTGCCTGAGAGAACAAAGAAAAGGTTTTTATTTTGCAGACACCGCTTATCAGCTGTGGAGTTGGAAGTATCCTGATAAGTCTGACATCTGTTGAAAGACATGCTCCCATGAGAAAGGAAAAAACAAACAAACAAACAAACAACAACAACAACAACAAAACCATTCCTGAGCACCTGGTCTTTTTATTTGCTCTGAGAGCCTTACTGATAGACTGTACAATTCCTGGAATCTTCACAACAGCCTAGGTTGATTCTGAAGATGGGGTTGAGAGCTAAAATTCCAGTGTGCTAAGTTACTAGTGTTCTTCACTGTGAAAGGAATGGTCAGGACGTGTGCTAAACAGATGATGGTGTGAAGGTATCTTATGAACTGTGACAGTTACCACATCGTTGTCTGAAAGTGGCTTGCATATTGTGATGTAAATGTTATTCAAAGCTTATTGTAAATCCATATCTCCTAAGTAGCCATTGAGAATGAACTGGGACTTTCCAAATGCTGCTTTGCTTTCATGATTGGAAAAGACACGGCAACTCCTTATAAATATGGAAGCCAGGGCATAATTCTACAATGGAAATGTTGGGTAGAAGGGAGGAAAAGGATCCTTTAGTGAGTGAACTTACTTAAAATGGCAGCTGGAGAGCATCACTTTTTATTGCCCTGGAAGGAGAGACATCAGTAAATCAATGGTAATTGAGTCATAACTGGAAGTAAGGAGGGGACTGGACTAAGGTTGGACTAAGCTTAGAACTTGGGGGAAAGACCCATGATGCTCAATTTTAATTGTCAGTTTAACAGTGAGTTCCAGTGAGGGACTGTTTAGATTAACTTGGCTTATGGGCATGTCTATGGGGGATTGTCTTGATTGCCCTGACTGATGCGGGGACACCCATCCTGAAAGTGGGTGGTACCATTCCCTGGTTTGGGACCATGGATTGTATAAGAGCGCAGAAAGCTGAGCACTGAGTAGTCATTTCTCTCTGTGGTGTGACCAGCTGCTTCAAGAATCTGCCTATAATCTAACATTGTGAGCTGCAATAAATGCCCTTTTCCTCAAGTTGTTTTTGTGTCAAGTATTTTTTTTTTTTAAATCGCAGAAGCAGAAATGAAACTAGAAGACCCAGCTCTTGTTTCTTTCTTTCTTTTCTTTTCTTTTTTTTTTTTTTAAATTTTTTCGAGACGGGGTTTCTCTGTAGCTTTGGAGCCTGTCCTGGACTAGCTCTGTAGACCAGGCTGGCCTCAAACTCACAGAGATCCACCTGCCTCTGTCTCCTGAGTGCTGGGAATACAGGCGTGCGCCACCACCGCCCAGCCCAGCTCTTGTTTCTTTGCAAGGCTGTTTTAGCTAATTTTAGCTAAACTGCTTAGTTTTTTTCAGCTCAATGTATAATTAAAATACATCAATATTTTATATTAATTTTATAAATAATTAATAAAATAACATCTCAGGTTAATAATTAAAATAACAATAATACCAACAATAATATGTCACCATGCGTATTTATAGTTGATGGATGGTTTTAATATCAATTATTTAATTTTTTTCCTCTGCCTAATACCTGTCTACAGTAGCTAGAGTGGATGGTATGGAAGAGTAGAAAGTGCTAGAATCCTAGATTCAAATTCCAGCTCTGCCTTCACTCTGCTCTTTAACATTCGACCTCATCTTTAGTACAATCAAGATGAGGATCTGTCCCTCAGAGCACAGCTGTGACACCCGAGGGGGGCGAGGCAGATAAATAGGCTCCCCAAATGGAGGGAGGGCCATTGAGTTCTGTCTGAGGAATCGTCCCATGGTTTTCCGCAAATCACACATGTCCTGTCAGGTGTGAGGCGAGGAGTCAGAAGCATGGACTTTAGAGCTCGGTACACTTCTGATTTAGCTCTGGATCTAATTCTCCCAAGCTCTGTGACCGTGAACAAGTGATGCGTCTTCCTGAACTTGAGTTTCTCATATGTAAAATCATCTGTAAAATAAATGCAGCCTCACAATGGCAAGGGAAATATGATCAAAACATCTTAGGAGATCAGACAATAACCTTTATCAAAGTGAGGCTGGAGTTGGAAGGATGATGTCAAAGTCCAAGGAATCCTCTTCTGCCACTTGGACTCAGCTGTCATATACACTCCCTGCCACCAGGCTCTTGACTCACCCAACTGTTAATGATGCTCATGGTACAGGGTCCCTATAATGACCAGGTGAGACGATGATTCTCGTGGCGCTTTGTAATGTCACAGAGACAGGGATGTGTGATCACGTATACGGAGTGTGAGCATCAGGTAATGGGTTGGGTGTTTGAATGCTGCAGCATGTATGCCAGTTTTAGTGCAAGGTGATGCAAATCCTGCCTGTGCAGAGCTACATAAAATTCCCTTCTCATTTTTCGTTGTTCATCTATGTAGCCCAGGGCTTCCCTGCCTGGGAACTGACTCACTTCCTGCAAGGAATCTATGTGTTATTCAGACATAAACATTTTCCAGCCAATGGGTTTTAAGAGTAGATTAACTATTATCACTCTCACCAAAGATTTTTATCTTACCAACAAACAAACAAACAAAAAACAAAACAAAACAAAAACATGACAGTAAATGTTAGAGTCAACTGCATTTGAGAAGGGAAATCCATCTGTAGGACTGGTCCTTTTTAAATGTTATGTTGTCTTTATTTTTTACCTGATTTTTAAATTGCATTCGTATGTCTGTGCCTGTGCCTAGGCCTGCGCATCTGAGTGCAGGTGCCCATGGAGGCCAGAAGAAGCCACTGGATCCCTGAAGCTGAGTTTCAGACAGTCATGAGCTTCCACCCAATGTGGGTTCTGGAAACGAAACTTGTGTCCCCCGAAGAAGCAGTCTGGGCTTTGTATGGCTGAGTCACCTCTCCAGGCCTGGACAGACTGGTTCTTACTTCCATTCATATCCAGTGCTTTCTACGATGTGTTAGAATCTAGGATGATTAAATGAGTGATTGTCTGTTTCTTCTTTGACTGAGTGCTATGACCCAGCTCCTTCTTTTGGAAGCCTATGGAGTCCAGGTGCAGCTCTCTTGACCTCTGACTTTTCACATGAGTTGGTTTGTTCTGTTGGTTTGTGGAACTCTTTGTTTGAAGACCATCCTGCTCCAGGAGAATCTGTGATCTTAGTGACTTGTCCCTCACAGTGAGATGGTATCATTAGAGAAATTCAGCTCTGCAAATCCCATCTCTTCCAACACAGGAAATGAGCTCATGCTGGGTAGGCCATATACCTGCCACAGTGCCTCAATGATACCCAGGCTCCCATCCCTTCTGTCTTGAGTGTATGAAGGAAGAAGAAAAGCAGCAGGCTCCAGTACACTACACGACATCCTGAAAGCTTCCCGCACTTAGCTCGATCATTATCGCTTCCCATGGAACAGAGCTTTAGGCAAAATGTGGGGGAATGGGCCATTAACTAGAAAAAAATGAAAGACATCAGTGAACAAGAGCACTGTAGAAAGCGTTGATTTTTTTTTTTTCAGGTAATGATAGGAACAGGGGTAATGTGATTGTGGGTTATTCACTTATTTCCCAAAACTCCTAACCAGAGGTTCAGAGGCCAAAAGGCAAATCCTTCTTTTAAGTTTCCTAGAGAGTTCTTGGAGGAAGACAAATATCATTAGGTGCCTTGGGAAGGCCACCTCTTGCATAATATCTCTATGCTGTACGGGGCTAGCATGCAGAGTCATGGGCAGTGGGAACTCAGAATGTTCCAGAATGGGGAATGTCTGTAACTGTTGGACTTTGGAGGTATTCAGGAGCTGAAATACAGGATCCACAGATGTAACCAGCACTGGACAGATGCTTTCCCAAGGATCCAGACTCTCTGATATGTTTGAATAGTAGGTTTATTTTGTCCTAAGGAATGTCCCCAGGGGAACAGATGTGTGACCTGGATGCTAACATGTTCCCTTCTGGGCACTGGTGTGAAGGGTGCATGAGTTGATGGTAAAAGGCCAGGAATTGGAAGTTTCTAGAATTTTAAGCTGAGCACATGGTTTAGGAAGCCTGTGCTGCCATTTTCTTGTCATTTTGGCATTAATTCCATTATATGAACTTTACTGGTTGTATAATTTCAAAATAACCTCACCTATAAATTCTAATTAGAATCAAATTTATTGATCGAGATTGAATTTTCTTTTTAATTTTTTTACATTGATTTGTGTGTGTGCATGTGTGTGAGTGTGTGTGTGTGTGTGTGTGTGTGTGTGTGTGTGTGTGTGTGTGTTAGTGAAGTGGAGAGAGAGAGAGAGAGAGAGAGAGAGAGAGAGAGAGAGAATGCATGTGGAGGTCACAGGACAGCTTGTAGGAGTTGTTTCTTCCCTTTTCACTGTATGGGTTTCTGGGATTGAAAATAGCTAGTCAGGCTTGGTGGCCAGAGCCATCACCTGCAGAGATATCTCACAGGCTCATGAGAAGTCCCCCCTCCCCTTGAATCAGGACCAAGATAAATACAAATGAAGAGTAAGAAGTTCAGTTCTCCCCACTGAAATGAAGAGAAAAGGTCTCCACGTTTTTTTCCTTTGTCACTTTCTCACTGATATTCTGTGTTCAGAGAATAATTGGATCTTGTGAGTTTGAAATTTAAGTGAGAATGATTGGCCAGTGATATAAAAGTGGGAGTCACTGGCATATTGCAAATCCAGGAGACTGCCCGAGAATATTAATGGGGTGTAGAGGGAAGGAGCCA